GCAGCATAGTGCCTACGGCACTTGATTGCTAATCAGAAGGCTGGAGGTTCAAACCCACCAGCCACTCCTTGGAAGGAAAGTTGGGCAATCTACTTCCATAGTGATACCGCTTGGAAACCCAAGGAGGGGGTCGCTATGAGTTGGGTCCAACTCAACTTCACATAACAACAACAACATTGTAAATGGTAATGATTTCCTTATTTCTTTTTCAGCAATCTCTTTGCTGGTGTAGAGGAATCCAACTGATTTTTATATGTTGATCTTGTATCCTGCCATGATGCTAAATCTCTCAATTAGTTCCAGTAGTTTTTTTGTTGAGTCTCTTGGGGTTTCTATGTATAGGATCGTATCATGAGCAAATAGGGATAGTTTTACTTCTTCCATACCAGTTTGGATGTCTTTGATTTCCCTTTCTTGCCTTATTGTCCTGGGTAGGACTTCTAGTACTATGTTGAATAGAAGTGGTGATAGAGGGCATCCTTGTCTGGTTCCTGTTCGAAAGGGGAATGGTTTCAGTCTCTCTCCTTTGAGAAGAATGTTGGCTGTTGGTTTTGCATAGATGTCCTTTATTATGTTGAGAAATGTCCCTTCTATTCCTATTTTGCAAAGAGTTTTTATCAGGAATGAGTGTTGGATTTTATCAAATGCCTTTTTTGCATCAAGTGATATGATCATGTGGTTCTTTTCCTTTTATTTATGTGATGGAAGATGTTGATTGTTTTTCTAATGTTGAAACATCCTTGCATACCTGAGGAAGGTTTTATTCTTAACCCAATGATCCTAGCCATCTGGACAGTTGACTGATTAAAAAGCTCATTTTCCTAAGGAATAGGAAGCCTATCCATGTTTATTTCCTATTTGCTCTCAGGGAAAAGGGCAGAACTACAGGGAGAATCCTGTTCTCTGTAGACATGATGAGAGGGAGCAGGCAGTGTGAGGGGTTGTTTAGCTTCATGGTTAAGAGTTTAGACAACTAGTACCTGATTTCTGGGTTTAAATCCTGGCTCTGCCACTTATAGCTGTGTGATTTTATACTGGTCATTGAGATAGCCAGTGCCTCAGTCTCCTCCTCTATAAATTAGGGAGGGAAGAATGAGTCAGTACCTATGGAAATAACGGTACAAGTCTACATTCCCTTATCCAAAACCCTTGGTGCCAGATGTGTTTCAGAATTTAGAATTTTTAGATTTTCAGAAGGTAATATGATGTAAATACACATGTTACATAACACTCTTAGTAGATTCTGTAATCAGCCATGTTCATATTTCTACATATGTATGCAGAAATGAATGAATATTCACACTAAGTAAAGATCAGAGAGAGCTTGTTTAATTTCAAATCAGCTCTTGATTCCAAAGAAGTTACAAAGAAGCTTTTCATCTTTGGAGATTTTTGGATTTTGAAATAGCAGCTAAAGAATCACGAACAAATTAAAAAAAAAAAAAAAAAAAAACCTCACTGCCATCAAGTCGATTCAATTCATAGACCCCTCCTTGGGTTCCTGAGGTGGTATCTCTATGGAATTAGATTGTCCAGTCTTCCTTCTGAGGAGTGGCTGGTGGGTTTGAACCACCAGCCTTCTGGTTAGCAGCCTTTTAGAGCTTTCTAGTCCAGGAATATTATAATCTACATAGTAACTATGAACTAGTTTTTATTATTATCTCTACAGATAAGAATGTTATTATCCCTGGTTAGGGCCTTTTGGGAGCCTTTTATAGCCTCCTAATCCAGGAATATTATAATCTACATAGTAACTATGAACTATTTTTTATTTTTATCTCTACAGATAAGAACGTTGTTATCCCTCTTTTACAGATGAGAAAAAAATGAGGTACAAAGAGGTTAAAGAATATGCCCACAGTCACACCACTAATAAGTGGCAGAACCAAGAATCAAACCATGGCAGTCTGCCTCTTGAGCAGGACTCTAGAGAACATCACTTTGAAAGCAGCACAGTAAGCCACCATCTTTGAGTGGAGCACAGCTGTTTGCTTCCTACTTAGATCAAAATGCTACAGGCAATAGATTTGGTTGTTAGGCAGTGCCTATGTGGTCTTTTGTTACCACGACAATACTGAACCATTTTAAGCCAATTCAAAGCCCTGCTTAAAACAACAGTTACTTATTATCTTATATTTCTACAGGTCAGAAGTCCAACACAGGTCTCACTAGCCTAAAATTAAGGTGTCAGCAGGGCTGTGTTCCTTTCTGGGGGCTCCAGGGGAGAATCCATTCCTGCTTGTTGGGTTGTTGGCAGGATTATGTTCCTTGCAGTAGTAGGACTGAGATGCCTATTTTCTTACTGGCTCTGAGCTTAGAGTTGTTACCAGCTTTAAAAGGTTACCAGTTTTAATGCTGCATGAATTCCTTGGCTCATAGCCCCCTTCTTCCATCTTCAAAGCCAAAAACAGCACATTGAGTCTGTCTCGTGCATTGAATTTCTCCTGCCTCTTTTGTCCTTGCATCTCTCCTCTTTCTGCCTCCCTCTTTTCTCATGTGATTATATTGGTCCCACATAGATAATCTAAGATAATGTCCATATTTAAAAATCCATAATCTTAATTCCATCTGCAAAATTCCTTTTGCCATGTAAGGAAGGTAGCATACTATTGAGGAGCCATTACTCTGCCTACCATAGTCTACCCTCTGACCCCCGAAGTTTCATGTTTAATCCCACATGCAAAATATATTCATACCATCCCAAGGTTCTCAAGTTTAATCCCATTATAGGAATCACCCAAAGCTAGGCTAAGGAGTTTGATATAGTTTGGAGGTGTTAGGGAATGATGGTGGAGTTTGGAGACAGTGGTGGAGGCAAGATGGCAAGAAAGGACTCCTCTTCCTGCTGACCTCTACCCTCTCCTGTGTCCACAGCCTCTCAGCTCTGAGCTGTCGGCACTCCAGACCCCTGGGATGGCGTAAGCACTCCCCCAGCAATGGACCCATCTGTGACGCTGTGGCAGTTTCTGCTGCAGCTGCTGAGAGAGCAAGGCAATGGCCATATCATCTCCTGGACCTCACGGGATGGTGGTGAGTTCAAGCTGGTGGATGCAGAGGAAGTGGCCCGGCTGTGGGGACTGCGCAAGAACAAGACCAACATGAATTACGACAAGCTCAGTCGGGCCTTGCGGTACTACTATGACAAGGTAAGGCCTCTAATACTAGGGCTGGGAACCCCCAACGTTTCTATCATTTATTTTATTTTATTGTCTAAATTGCTGTAGCTATATAACTTTGAAAACAGTATTAAAATTTGCTGTTTCTTATCCCATCCGCTGGTATCCTCAGACCAGTGTTGGGCCCATGAACATTTATATCAGTTATTTTCTTACCTTACTACTTTGACTAAAACCTTCATAGCAATATTAACACTGACCCTCCTCACCCTATCCTCTGAAATTCCCAGCACAGTGCTGTCCCCTCACACCCTGGATAACATTTAATTTTCTTACCTTATTCCTATAGCTAAAACTTTGTAAACACTATAATAATGATCATTCCTTATGCTATGCTCTGGAACCCCTCGACCAGTGCTAGGCTCCCCTAGTTATATCATCTTATTCCTATAGCTAGATGTTTAAATATTCATCGTCTTCTCCTCTTAGACTGCCAGACCAGTACTGCCAGTGTTTATTCCAATTATTTCATTTTCTTAATTTCTTTAGCTGAAAGCTCCAAAACAATATTAATCTCTTTTCATCCCTCTTATGTTCTAACAAATGCAAATTCACCATATGACATACCTGACCCACAATCAGACACCCCCCCAAGAGTGCTTCAGTGTCCCTCAGGTTCCTCGTGCCCCCTCCAAGAACAGCCCTAGACCTGTGCTGCACACCTTTAATATTTATAACATTTATTCATTTTCATATTTTATTCTTTTAGTTTAAACCTCCAGAACAATGCACCTACTCCTTACTTATTGGATATCTCGTTAATCTGACATTTCACGTTTACCACAATAGTAAAAAATCTACTATCCAACTATTTTATGCATTAACAATATATATCTGGCAGTAACAAAAGCCGAGGTGCAAGGTGAGAGTAATGCTGGCTGTGATGGTTATGTGTCAACTTGGCTGGGTCATGATTCTCATTGGTTTGGCAGTTATGTAATGATGTAATTGAGTAGTTATGTAATGATATAGTTAGTAATCCTCCATTTTCACATAATGCCAATTTTTGCATAACAACCTGGTCTTCAGGACCTAACCATGTTGCTAAGTGAGGAGTGAGTGTAATAATAATGAAGCTCTGTGGGACTACCAGAGCATCCATGAGATCCTCCAGACCAGTCCTGAAATACCCTATGTTCTGGAACCCACCCAGGCTAGCTTTGAGATCTCCCTCCCCAATATCTATACCAGTATTTTAATGTTCTTATTCTGCTGCTGTCAGTTACTACTTCATTTTTCTTACTGCTTTAGCTAAAACTTCTATAACAGTATTAATGAGGCCTCCTCACCATATTCTCTCTAACTGAACTTTCCCTGTTCCACTCATATGTCAATAGCTTTAAATAATCTATATTAATAATTCATCACATCATTCTTCTACATTAATTTGGTCTCTTCTACTACTTGTCAATTATTTTATTTCTCTGTCTTATTGCATTAGCTAGTCTCCAACAGTTGTGTCCTGACAGCCATTTCCAAAGCCTGTCAGCCCACAGACACCCCTGGTTCTTGGAGCCAGGAAGAAAGCCTACTCCTGTACCTACTTCCCCAGAGGGGCCCCACTGTGGAAAGGAGCCCATGTGTATTTGAGATGGAGGGTGGAATCAGACAGATGGAAATGAAGAGTGACATAGGAAGATGTGGGGAGAGAGAGATGGGAAAGAAAAATGGAAGGTAGGCAGGAAAAGGAGAAACGGGCAGTAGACTAAAGAATTTTAAAGGGGAGAACAGAGAAGGGAGAGCCTTCGGAAGGAATCAGAAAGGGGAATCTAGGGAAGGGGAGAAAAAGAGGAAGAGACTTAAAGTGAAGAAGGGAGGATCTAAAAATTTGATAGAGATGAGTGATATGTGAAATGGGCAGAGAGAGATAGGGAACATATGGGGAGGCAGATAGGAAGGAGAGAGGTGTGTACATGAAGACAGCAGAGATCCAAGTGAGAAGAATGACACTAAGAGAAGAGAGGTATCCCTCTACCTCCTTTCCATCCACACCTTCCCTCCATCCTGCCCCTTTCCTCTAAGTCCCTCTATCCCCTCTCCTCCCTTCCCAGAACATCATCCGCAAGGTGAGCGGCCAGAAGTTCGTCTACAAGTTTGTATCCTACCCTGAGGTTGCAGGGTGCTCCTCTGAGGACTGCCCACCCCAGCCTGAGGTGTGTGTCGCCTCCTCCGTGGCAAATGTGGCCCCTGCTGCTGTACACGTTGCTCCTGGGGACTCCGCCTCAGGGAAGCCAGGCACACCCAAGGGCACAGGAATGGCAGGCCCAGGTGGCTTGGCACGCAGCAGCCGGAATGAGTACATGCGCTCAGGCCTCTATTCCACCTTCACCATCCAGTCCCTGCAACCACAACCCCCACCTCAGCCAGTCCCTCATCCTCGACCAGCCTCAGTGCTCCCCAGCACCGCCTCTGCAGGAGCAGCAGCACCCCCCTCAGGGAGCAGTAGCACCAGTCCAAGCCCCTTGGAGGCTTGTCTGGAGGCAGAGGAAGCTGGCCTGCCTCTGCAGGTGAGGACTGGAATCTGGAAATTCAGTAGGAGAGGGTGAGGAGGAGGGAGGTACAATTCCCAAATGAGTCCTATTAGAGATGCTGTGGGAGGATGGACCCTGAAGTCCTGTTGGAGAATGAGGTGGGGAAGAGAGCTATAGAAGTCTTGAGAAGGAAGAGATTTAAGTGTGCCACTACTGTTATCCAGCATATAGTAGGTCCCCTGGACATACTTGTTTAATGCACGGGTTCTCACACTTTGCCACTCTTCAGACTCACCTGGAGGGCTTGTTCAGACACCTTGCTGGGCACCCCCCCCCAAGTTTCTGATTAAGTGGGTCTGGGGAGAGGCTTGAGAACTTCCATTTTTAACAAGTTTGTAAATGAGGTAGATACTGCTAGTCCATAAAACAAAATTTTGAGAACCTATTTTAATGAAGCAGTGAGTCCCACCCCTGTGAGACGGTCTTGTCCCAGGTGCTCAGCCCCCACTAGGAGAACTTGCCCCAGAGGAAGCCCCACTAGTCCCAAGGCCGGGTCTCCAGAACTAAGTCCCGCCTTGCCATGGAAATGAATGGCTGGCCCGCTGGAGGAAGTTTCCCTAGCCCCAAGAATTCTTATGCGCCCCTTCTGCACCCGCACCCCTCCCAGGTTATCCTGACCCCGCCTGAGGCCCCGAACCCGAAATCAGAAGAAATGAATATGGAGCCGGGGCTGGGCCGGCCACTGCCCCCAGAAGTTAAAGTAGACGGGCCCAAAGAAGAGTTGGAAGCCACTCCCAGTGGGGAGGCGGGGTTTGTGCCGGAAGCCACTAAGGTTGGGCCGGATGTCCTGCCCGCGGTCGTTATGGAGACGACCCCGCAAGAGCCGGGCCTAACATCTTCCACAGCGTCCAGAACAGAGAATGCCCAGCCTCAGAAGGGCCGGAAGCCCCGGGACTTGGAGCTTCCACTCAGCCCGAGCCTGCTGGGTGGGCTGGGACCGGAACGGACTCCGGGATCAGGAACTAGCTCCAGTCTGCAGGCCCCGGGACCGGCGCTGACGCCGTCCCTGCTACCTACACATACATTGGTGAGTGCCTGCGACGGGGCGGGGCTGACGGCCTGGACGAATGGGATTGGCAGGTGGCGGGCAACTGAGCCGACCTGGACTGATGGCTAAGGCGAGTGTCCTTCCCTCTGAGGGGGGCAGGACTCAGTAAGCGAGTAGGGGTGGGGCTTGATTAATTGAAGGGCCAATGAGTCCACTGAAGGAGGAACGGGTTGTGTGGGAACTGCTGGCTTGGAGCATGGTTTAAGGACCTTCCGCAGGACTTTTTTGTTTGGCCTAGTGGAGTGCTTTTGAGAGATTCCAGGTGGGGCATGAGAATTGGTGGTGAAGCCCGAGCTGTTGGGATGGTGATTTGTGAGGTGGTCTTGCACAGTGAGGTCTCAGGAACTGAGGATGAGCTCTCAGGAGTTGCAGGTGTGGGGCGGTGCCAGTGTAGTTTGAAAGATACCTGCAGGCAAGGCCTTAGTGGTTGTGGTCTGGGCTTAAGGAACCCCCTAGGCTTATGGCTTTTGGGAAGTGACCACAGGAATCTAAGTAGAGTATCTGTGGTGGGGCTGGAACCAAGTCCCCTCCATCTTCCCACTTACCCTCTGCTCACTCAAACTCCAACCACCCCTTCCTCGCAGACCCCGGTGCTGCTGACGCCCAGCTCGCTGCCCCCCAGCATTCACTTCTGGAGCACTCTGAGTCCCATTGCACCCCGTAGCCCGGCCAAGCTCTCCTTCCAGGTAGGATCCCCTTCTCCCCATCTGGAGAGGGTGAAAGACCTTAACATGACCCTAATCTATGCCCTCTCCGTTTTTGCCCCCAGTTTCCGTCCAGTGGCAGCGCCCAGGTGCACATTCCTTCTATCAGCGTGGATGGCCTTTCGACCCCTGTGGTGCTCTCCCCAGGGCCCCAGAAGCCATGACTACCACCACCATCACCTCCTGCTGGGGTCACTCCATCCATGCTTGCAATCTTCTCTCCAGCCAGCCTTCTCAAGGAGAAACAGTTCAACTGACAGACTCATGCTCTGGTCTGGTGGGATGGGGACTCTTGGGAAGAAGAATTTTTCAATAACCATCAACCCCCTACACACACACACACACACAGAGAGAGAGAGAGAGAGAAAGAAAACACCTTCTTTGTCACCCCCCCCAGTGGCCGCTCTTACTCGTCTTCTACTTCAGCAGTAGAGATGGTTTATTTATTTATTTTTTGAAGGCCACTGGGAGAGCGTAGCCCTCCCTTTTAGAGGGTTGGTGAGGACACCTCCCCTACCTCTACATTTTCCCCCAAGATGAGACAATCAGGGTCTGGCATAAGAAGAACATTTCTTTATTTATTTCTCAGCCAGCCTTGGAGAGATGTAGGAGCCCTGTCTCCTTTTTAGGTGGGTGGTTTTATTTTTTTATTCCTGTACATACCCAAGGGTCTAGGGGGAATTTTGCACCGTTTAACTGTTTGGGGCTTGGGCAAGGAAGAATCCCGCCCTTAGAATAGGACTTTTCACTTCTCAAACATTTCTTTCAGACAGCTTGTCCTTTTTTCCAACCAACTTTTGGTGAGGGAGGAATGCTCCCTTTGTTCTTCTCCTCCCTGAGAAGCCATTCCTTTGTCTGCCAAACTCCCTGGGGTCCTTGTTACCTCCCAATGGAGGGTTTTTGGAGGGGTGGTTCCCGTCTGGGGGGCCACTCCAGCCAGTACTCCAGGTCTCCCTGTCACCCACCTCAGCCATTTTGATAGTATAATCTATTTTTAAACAGGGCTTTTCAATAAGGGAGAGGGAGCATCTCTTCCTGTATCTGAGATGGGGTGGGTGGGAAGGAAAGGATTTTGGGGGTTCTTCCTGCCACCCCCAAGTGTTTATTTTTGATACCTAACATGTATTTTCAGTTCCCTCCCTCCCAGCCCCCCAATTTCCTGCGGGCGGGTACAAAGGACCCTTTAAGTGTCCCTGGAGTTGGGAGGGAGGAATGGGGGACATAAAGCCTGTCCTGTGTCAATTGAAGGCTGGCAAGAGTAAGTTCAAAAGACTCCTGGGCTCACCTATCAGCAAAGGCCCAGCCCACGCCTGGGGACCTGGGAGTTGGTCATTTGGGGGACGGTGCTACACCTGTCTCCACTGTTTGTTTTACTTCCCCAAAATGGATCTTTTTTTTTTTCTAAGAGTACCAGAGAATGGGGAATTGTTCCTGTAAATATATATTTTTAAAGGTGATTCTAGAGGCTGCTTGCATTTTTTTCCCCGATGTGTCTAGAACTGAGTGTGATAGACATGGCTTTATGGGAAAGGTGGTGAGAGTATGAGGCAGAGATTAATTGTGAGATAAATGACATGATGGTGTGTGTCAAAAATGGTAATAGAGACTGCAAATCAGCAACTGTGTGAAAGAGAAGCTGTGTGTGGAAAGCTGTGATTGTGTAAGAGAGAAAATGAGTGTAGAAGTTGTGACCACAAGTTTCTGACTTTGTGTGAGAAATTGGCTGTTAGAGAATCACTTTAAGACTGAATGAATGATTACAATACTGTACAAGAAATTGTGATGGTATGTATGAAATAATGTTATGAGAAAGGAATGTGGACTGCAAGTCAGTCACTTTTTTGACAATCTGATGGTGAGTAAGACAGACTGAGTGACTGAAACAATGCATGAGAGACTGGGCATTAGACTATATTAGCAATTGTAGGGAGTTGTGTGTAGGTAAGAAATTTAACTGTAAGAAAGTAACAATGTTTAGTGAGACATTGTGTGTGAAAGAAACTTCGTGCAAGGCTGTAGTGTATGTGTGAGAAGTTGATTATATGGGAGAAAATAGCTATAAGGCCATGTGAGTGATCAAGACACAAGATACGGAATATGTGATTATGTGTATGAAAACTGTTCATGGAAGACTGTAGTAAAGACTGTGAGAAACAATGGCTATGACTGGAGAGTATGAGAGATTTTAATTGCATGTATGTGTGTGAGATGGGACAATTAGTGGCAAACTGATTTACACCTCCTACTATAGGCTCTCCCAACAGTTTCAGTGACTACATATGAAAAAGTAAGGGGAAATGATGGTGAGACTAAGCAACTGAAACAGTGTGAGAGGCCATGTGATTGTATTTGTGGGTGAGAGATTATTAAGTAGCAACAGCTGGAAGTCAGCAACTGTGTATGTGCATGTATATGAGAAGCTAAAACTAGTGACTGAGATAGTGTGTGAGAATGTGATGTGTGTGAATCAGTTCATGAGAGACTAAACTGTGGACTGTTTGTTTGTGGAAAACTCAGAAAATGACTGAGACTGAGTGAATGAGACTCTGAGAGACCACATGATTGTATGTGAGAAACTTCAAGAGAGGGTACTAGTGACTGAAATATAGGAAAATGACTTTGAATAAAGGGAAAACAGAAAATGGCTGGAATTGAATGAATGGCTGTAACAGCTTATGAAATTGTTGGAGAAGATGTGAAGCAGACTGTGAGAGAAAATGTGGTTGTGTGTGTGAAACTGTTAGTGAGTTATTGTAGCAATTGTAAATCAATGATTGTACAGCCAAAGGTGACTGAAGAAGATGACCTATGACCAAATGGGATTGTGTGTGCAAGGGGAGTGTGAATCTGTTGGGTAGACTGTAGTAGTAGTTGTTGTTGGCTACTGTTGAGTTGGCCCCCAACTTGTGATGACCCCATGCACAATAGAACAAAATGCTGCCCGGTTCTACATCATCCCTGTGATTGGTTGCAGATCCATAGAGTTTTTATTAGTCAGTTTTTAGAAGTAGATTGCCAGGCCTTTTTCCTAATCCATCTTAGTGTAGAAGCTCTGCCAAAACCTGCTCAGCATCATAGCAACACACAAGCATGTACTGACAGATGGGTGATAGCCGAGCATGATGTGGTGCATTGGCTGGGAATCGAACCTCAGTCTCTCACGTGGAAGGTGAGAATTGTACCACTGAACCACCATTGCCCTTTGTAAACCAGTTGCCACCAAGTCGACTCTGATTCATGGTGACTTCATATGTGTCATAGTAGAACTGTGCTCTGCTCCACAGGGTTTTCAGTGGCTGATTTTTTAGAAGTAGATCTCCAGTCCTTTCCTTCAAGGCATCTCGGGGTGGACTCCAACCTCCAACCTTTTGGTTAGCAGCCAAGCACATGAACCATTTGCACCAACCAGGGACCTCAGTCTGTAGTAAGAGCTGTAGATCAAATATGAAATGTGTTAGAAGACTTTGAGAGAAGAATGATTGAGAGACTGAATGGGTGGCTGACACGTCTGAAAGAGTGATTGTGTATGCATGTGAAACTGATCATGAGACTATCATAGATGCTGTATAGATTGAATTTGTATGTGAGGAAAAGTTTGAGAGAAAATGAGACAGAGATTGTATGTGCATGAAACTTCATGAGACTTTAAAAGTGACTAAAAACTGGGAGAAACAGAAAATGGCTGGGACTCAGTGGTTGAGCCACTTGTATGGCTGCTTGTTTGTATGTGATAAGCTGACTGGAGAAAATGATGGAGTGAATGACTGCTATGGGATGTAAGAGACAAATGATTGTGTGTGACGGTTATTGAGAGACAAGTAGTGATTGTGAATTAGTGACTCAATGAACTAGTGAATTAGAAACTGATGGATAGTGATTTTGCAACTGAATAGGTGAGAGAATGGGAAACAGACTGAGTATGTGTAAAACTTTTCAAGAGATTTTAGTAAGACTAAATCAAGGGCTGGGTATGTTGGGACCTAATAGAGGAGAAATGTGAAAGTAAGTGACTGAGGATGCTTGAGAGAGTACAATTGTGTATGCATATGAAACATCATAGAAGATTGTAAGGAGGCTATAGTCAGTATACTCACACTTGCTCACTCATTGCTGTCAAGTCGGATCCCACTCATAACAACCCCGCCTTGGGTTTCCGAGGCAGTATCACTACGGAAGTAGATTGGCCAGCCTTCCTTTTGAGGAGGGCTGGTGGGTTTGAACCGCCAGTCTTCTGATTAGCAGTCAAGTGCCTTAGACACTGGGAAAATGGCTTGAATGAGAAGAGAATATGAGAAATGGTGATTTTGTGTGTGTGTGTGTGTGTTTGTAAGAGAGAAACTTCATGAGAGGCTAGTGATGACTGCTCACTCATTGACTATCTTGTTAATCTGACATTTCACATTTTAAAAATGTGAAATGTAAAAAATCAATCTGACTGTTTTGCACATTAATGATGAATGTCTGTCAGTAACAAATGCTGAGGTACAAGGCGAGAGTAATGCTGCCTGTGATGGTTAAGGTTGCCTGGGCCATGATCCTCAGTGGTTTGGCAGTTATGTAATGATGTTGTCATCCTCCATTTAAGCATAATGCTGATTTTCGCATAGCAACCTGGTCTTTGGAACTTAGCCATGTTGATAAATAAGGAGTGGGTGTATTTGTGTATATGACTGTTTGTGTACATGTGAACAAATGATTGGTGAGATCGATCAAATCAGACAGGATATGAGCTGTTACGACTGTGTGTGAAACTATTAGTGGGAGACTGTACTAAGACTATGAAGGAGCTCTAGTGTTTTAGTGGTTAAGGCATTTGGCTGCTAACCAAAAGGTTGGTGGTTCAAACCTGCCAGCCATTCCACAGGAGAAAGATGACGCAGTTTACTTTGGTAAAGATTTACAGCCTTGGAAACCCAGTGGGGGTCATTATGAGTCAAAATCCACTCGAGGGCAGTGAGTTTGATTTCTGGTTTGTTAGTAAGACTGTGAGTCAGTGACAGAGAAAATAACTCCCTCGGAGTGTCACACTGTATGGTTGAATATTTAGGTGGACCTGTTTGTGAGAGATTATAGTAGAGGATATAAATTCAGAACTGTGTTTATATAGGTTAAAAAAAATTATAGAAAATGGCTGAAACTGAATGAGACCCTGTATGAGAGACCA